TGCAGAAGCTACCCAGGAGCAGACATAGATAGTGACCATAACTTGTTAATGATGAAAAGTAACCTAAAGTTCAAGAAAATAGTATCGAGGAAAATCAATGACCGATGGCATATAAATAAATTAAAAGAAGAAAAGATAAATGATAAGTTTAAAGAACTTACAAACGACATAAGTATAAATGAGAGAACCGATATACACAATAGGTGGGGCATTATAAAGAGCACAATGACAGAAGCAGCATCAAAGACTCTGAAAGACAATAAAAGGACAGTACCCAAGAAAGAATGGATAACAACAGAGATAACAAGTATGATAGAAGAAAGAAGAAAGCTTAAGATTGGAACTACTTATGAAAGTCAGCGCAAATATAGAGAACTAAGAAATCTCATAATACGAAAATCAAAAGAAGCAAAGGAAACATTTTTTGAAGAAAAATGCAAAGAAATAGAGGTACAAATGATAAATGGTAGTAGAGATTCAGCGTATAAATCAGTTAAAAATTTCTTTAACGATTATAAAACAAATAGGGGGACAATAGAGGATAAAAACGGAGTAATTATTTACGATGACATACAGAGAGGGGACGTATGGAAGAAATATCTTGAACAGCTATATGAGGGGCCAGAACTCACAGGACAAGAAATAGAGCATGAAGAAGTAATGTACAATAGATCAAATTATAGTGTATTGAGGGAAGAATTTGATAAAGCACTTAGAGATCTAAAAAAGAAGAAGGCAGCAGGAATTGACGAAATCAAAGCAGAACTTTGGAAAGAATCTGGCGAAAGCATGCGTAATGAGCTTTTTAAACTCATAAAGGAAATATTTGTCTCAGGAGAACTTCCTCTAGACTTTACAAAGTGTAAGATCATTCCTATTCCGAAAAAAGCAACCGCAAACAAATGTGATCAGTACCGGACAATTAGCTTGCTGACACATGTGTCAAAAATACTGACAATAATCATGTCAAGAAGAATGGAATATAAGATTGAAGCCATATTGTCAGAAGACCAGTTCGGGTTCAGAAAAAACATGGGCACGAGGGAAGCAATATTGGCTTTAAGAATCATTATCGAGAAAAGAATTAGAAAAGATAAGCCTACATACATAGCTTTTGTTGATATAGAAAAAGCTTTTGACAATGTAAACTGGGCAATAATGTTCAAGATACTCAAAAGAGCGGGTATAGAATACACTGAAAGGAGACTACTCTTTAAACTATACCAGAAGGAAACAGCTGTTATACGATTTGGTGAAACTGAGGAAGAAGCACGCATAAGAAAAGGAGTAAGTCAGGGTTGTAATCTCTCACCTAGCATATTCAATGCATACATCCAAGAGGCAATTGACATAATACGAGAGAAAATACAATTGGGTATAAAGATAAATGGCAGGAAAATCGATATGTTACGGTTTGCAGATGATATAGCAGTCATAGCGGAAAATGAAGAAGAATTACAAAGGATGCTGAGATGTATGGAAGAAACTCTGATAAATGAACTGAGCATGAAAATAAATACGCAAAAGACCAAAGTTCTAGTATGCAGCAGAAACAATAATATTACGACAAGAATACATCTGCAAAATAATCAAGAAATTAAACAAGTAGAAGAGTTCTCATACTTGGGAAGCATAGTAAGTAAAGATGGCAGAAGTAAAAAAGAAATAGCTACGCGAATATGTCAAGCTAAAATAGCATTTAACAAAAAAAGAGGACTTTTTACTTCAAAAAGTATTAGCGTTCGCACCAGAATAAATCTTCTGATGACATACGTATGGAGTATAATGCTGTATGGCAGCGAAACGTGGACGATTGCCAAGCAGAGCGGAGTAGGATAGAAGCTTTCGAGATGTGGTGTTTATGGAGTAATATCAAGAAAAGGAGAAATGAATGGATCGGACATGTATTAAGACATGGTGGGTTACTAGGACTAATCATAGAAGGCTGTGTGGAAGAAAAAAACGCTAGGGGAAGACCACGAATGGAATATATGCAACAAATAATAGAGGACCAAGGGTGTACTTCTTATAAAGAGACAAAGAGGAAGGCAAGTAACAGAGAAGAGTGGAGAATTGCTACAAACCAATCTCAGGATTGAATACTGAAAAAGAAAAAAAAAAGATGATACCCAGGGAGAGCTCAGGAAATTTGCCTCTCACGTATGATGAAAATGAACTATCTCCAAGTAATTTAAGCAACGCCACGCTAGAAGATGTAGATGAGGAAAATACAAATGATGCAGAGACAGATATCAATTGTTCTATCAGGGAACCTGAGGCAAACAACAACCATCAATTTCTTTAAAAAGAAATAATAAAAATGATAACAATAAAATTCTTTCAAAAAAACAAAATAGTTATGATTCCCAGGTGCTTGAAATTGAAAGAAGGAAAATTAACCTGATGGAAAAACGTTTTTCTCGACCAACAAATACTCATCAAGATGATCAGGACTACGCATTCTTCATGAGCTTAATGCCTTCTGTTAAGCAACTAAATCAGATTGAGAAAATGAGACTCCGAATGAAAATCATGAACGATGTCACAGATGCATTGGAAGCACACCAGTTCGTGAAGGAAGTAAATTCGTCAAGAATCATACCATCACCCATTGATTCCCCTTTGTCGTCACCATACAGTACTGAAGGTTCCGAGCATTCTCAATCATCTTCAATGTCGTTTCAAGCGAATCAAGCATATCAGACTGAAGTACAACCTACACAACAGGATATCTATAATCTAATGGATCTGTGAGATTTCATTTTTATATGTCATTTTATTATTTGAAAACAATAAAGATTTTTTAAACTTTTATTTTTTATTTTATTTTATTTAAAACATTCAGAATATTTCTAATTTTTAAAGTACCAAACCAATCCTTCTATTTTGTTCTTGAAAAAATTTTATTGGTTAATTTTATTAAGTAACCTTGTGCTCGCTCAGATTCATTGTATACGAAGGCAAAATTTACCATTATTTAAAATTGAATACGTTCAAACTAGTGATATCTAGAGATACTCACGAATCGTTACTAATTTTTTTAATATATTATATCTATATGTATAATGAAAAGGTACTAAAGGGTTATTTACCGTATTGTGATGGTGAGTTTTTCTTCTGGACTGACACATACTCTGAAGTTTGATTGGCCAGTTATGTCGTTTCTTATTCCTCCAAGAATGTAGTCAAATGTATCAATACTCATACGATGGTATTCCATGAACTTAACCGGGTGATTCCGTATAAGTACGCAAGTTGTAAAAAATTCTCCTCTCGATCGATCTAAATTGAATTCATGGACCCATGTCTTTGTACTACGTTTCTTTAGTAGAGCGTTGTTTTCTAGCAAACACCAACACAAAAAATCATCATCAGAATCACTCATTTTGTTATCACGTGTTTACTGCAATAGCTTCTACTACAAACTGCAGTAGAACGGTAGACAGTATATAGTTAAACGAATCACGTCGGGACCAGTGTAGGCATTCACGTCTGACGTCATCGGATACCGATGGACGGATAACTTCAGATCGGATCGGATCGGGAGAAATACGGACCTAATGTAGGTGCGGCCTAACGCGGCTGTATACAAGCAAATGAACAACAAATTTTGCGTGCCGACACCGCACGAACTGATGGACAGCACTACGTTCACTATAGACTTTGCGGACAGAAAATTTGTTACGATCGGACTCGACACCACGACTAACGCGTTTGATGTAATGGTACGTATATCGACTTCCACGCGGTATGTGAGCATATCGGTGGACTTTTTACGTCGAATATTTTCCATGATGGGTCATATTTTATCAATTATTACGAACCCGCAGGTAAAAACTCGAGAGAGGCTATTCCTCAAAGACGAGACCATCACACTGTCGAAAATGTCTTACCGCGGTGATAATATGTTGGCAATAGAATCCGTCACGGGAGGTTAAACCGGGAAAATTTGCTCGCACTTCAAGATTTGGCGGCGTGCATTAATGAAACGATCGTACAAAAAATCGCAATCGTCAGACCGTTGGTACAGGGGCAATTGGAACAAATAGCCGAGTACCTGAAAACGGATTTTTTCCTCGAGAAAACTTCTACCGTACAAGACATTGCTGCATTCATATCGGGTATTCACGACATTCGATCAAGTCGAGCATGGCGAGAACGTGCGGCGGGATACCCGTTCAGAGTTATGTGGCGCAGATCAAACATTTCGCCAGCACGCAACTGGCAGATCTATGGTCGGCGAAATTAAACGCGTCATCAGAGGTATTATTGTTGTATTGTATTGTAATATTTTTAAAAATATATTAATAACGATATTATTTTTCCATATATACAGCTTGTAAACATTATGACCGACGAGAATGATGGACCGACATTTTTCAATTATGTTAACTTTTGATGTGGGTTCAAAAAGGTCACTGCATTCTTCGCGATGGTCACGTCGATGTCACGAACATCTGCTGTACACACACACACACACACACAGCAAATGTTGTATAATATTATATCATCTGTTGTTGTTGTTGTAAATAAAAATCAATTTTATCATTATGAAACAGTATTTATTTAACACATACAAACTATTATAATATTTAAGTATAACAGATATTCAAAAAAAGTAATACAATATTGATTAGATAAGTAACCGTATGTATAATATTTTAAATTTTTCTGACTTCTCCCGAGAACGGGTTGTATTGAATTACTCGGTCGTGAATGAGCAAACAGTACGCCGAAATGTCAGCCTGAAAGTTATTAGCAGCCTCGAATTCGATTCTCAAATCGATAGTAGACGTTTTAGCGTCATCGTTCTGACGCGAACAGTCGATGCATATAAACGGACCCAGTTCTTTGTATTTTTCTTTACTCAGATACGGTTGGGCGGTCATGCGCTCGTAGTAATATTTTTGAAAATCCGCATATCCTTGATAGAACATTGTAAACTGGTCTTTGTCGAAGCTCTCGTTGTAATTCTCGTACGGGTATTCTACCTAATTTATTTACGCTTTCACGTTGGTCAGTGAACACGCGTCAAAGTCTGATGCGAATTCCTCGGCCATATGACTGGAGTCTTTGCACAGAAAAGCGATTATCAAACATCGTGGTTTCTCTACACGCGAACAGGTTTTCACCATCCACGAGCGTTTTCTCGTCTGCGGTATATTAGGATATTCGCATAGTTCCCAATTTCTAAACGCACAGTTAATCGTTTTTTTTGAATCGATAATTTTCACCAGATTTTTTACTTCTCTCTGTCATTGACCTTGACCACGGGCACCTTCCACATGACTTTCGTCAGTTCTATTTTGATTTTTTTCACTTTGGCTTGGACGATCACATCGCTCAAAACTTCATTACCTTTCAAGAAAAACGTCAACGATCCCAGATCGTCTGTCGCCCGGTTCAAAATCAATTGTTGCGAGCAATTTATCAAAACTTTATTATAATCTTCGGCAAATCCCAGAACGTGTTTTAGCGGGATACATCCGGTAAACGAGCCGTCTTTTATAAATTTTCTATTCGAATCCTCACCGTCCCAAATAGCGTTTTGCAAACAGTTTACGTCCTCGGGCGTATAAGAACAGTAACCTTTCAACGAGCTGCTCACACCCGGCCGTTTAACGCGTTGTATTTCCACGGAGTTAATTTCATATTTGATTTCGTTAAACAAATTAATCAAACCGTTCTGACTGAACGTGACTTCGGTCAACAAATCGGCTGGTTTTATCAATTTGCCCTCGACGTAGATAAAACTCTCGCTAGGCAGTGTGACGGCGTCTCTGTTCTGTATAGGGATACGTATCTCGTCGCCTTTGTTTATAGCCGTGGTGGAGAACGGTAAAAACGAGTGTAAAAACATTTCCTGGATAGGCGCCTCGTTCACGTACGGCTCGTTCACATCCAAATACGACCGGTCCATGTTATTACGACGATGACGACGTCTTATTGTAGGAGATGAAACGTAGAAATTCACGATTCGTTTTTGTAAGAGCACTTTTATCGATATTGTTAACGGAACGATGTTTTTTTATCTGCACGTTTCCGGTAAGTGGTAGTGTCTCCGTCGACAGACACGCGTGTTTGTCCGCGATCAGCTACGTATTTATTTACATTAAATTTGAGTCCCATCTCGATTATTATTATTTTTTTTTAACGAGAAGAAGTACGTTCAACGTCTCACCACTTATATTAATTAATTTATCGTCTTGATCTCTCAACGTTACACGCACGTTATTCACGGTGTTCGTCCCTAGCCGATATAAAACACAATATTTCGGTACTTCGATTATTTTGAAGCCCGGCGCGACCGCTGGATAAAACTCGTATATTGTATGTGATTGCTTTCCGTTCTCGAATGACCCTACGGCCAAATTGCATACTACTTTTATACAATTTATTCGCATAATGTCCTCGGATTCGTGTTTGATGTTGGCGAGTAGGCGAGTTGTTCTATTGAAACCCAACAACGGTGCCATATTGCTCACGTTGAACACAACGTCGTTACTGCACAGTATCGTACATTTTAACGTACTGGGATCGGATTTCAATTC